AGAGGACGCAGTGTCTCGTTCCCTACTCAGGGAACCATGGTTACATAAGTAACCTGAGACGTTCTCTCCTCTAACCACAACTGCACTAAACAAGAGTAAGGTGTAATTGCATTTCTAAATGAACATAATGTTTTCATCCTGACAGAAAAATAGTAATCAAAAGGCTTATGGTATGTAATCATAATAATTAATATGTTCTAGGCCCAAACAACAGGCCTGTGAGAAATTACTGTTTATTTTCAGTAATGATATCACTACTTTCCACCTACATACCGTATATTTAGTGGAAACATCTGTCTTTAGACAAAGTTGAGCAGAAATCCCTTCAGAGTGGATATTTTCTTTCATTTAGAATCATTCATTCAAAATGAGTGCAGCTGAATCACTCACTAGGAGACCAGAAAAGGCTAATTTAGTCCCTTGTCTCCTGATCCCCATAATTTGTAGTGTGATAGTCAACAGCATGAGTCACCTTTGTCATTTATGTTAAGTGCTGACCATAATGTCCTTTGAGGACTGGGAAATTAGTTTCTCAGCAGGGGGTCAATTTAGGTAAGAAGTCTGACTCTCACGGCCAATGAATGACAATAAACATTCTGTGTTCCTGTATTGACCAGGAGGGGGCAGTATGAGCAAGGAAAAGCGTTTGGAAATGACAACAAGCCTACTCAAATTGACTGAACTAGAGGCGTGATTTATTTGATCAGTTATATGTTTTTGTTTATGAAAATGTTGCAGGAATATGATTGTCCTTTGCTTTTCATATGCTCCATTGATTTTCATACTCTGCTGCAGCCAATAGACTGGAACGTACTTCTTTGGAATATTTCTCTTTCTGTTTGAGGACAGGCCAGGTCCAGTGAGTCAAGAAAAAGACTCAGCTATCTTTGAAGTTCAGCTTAGAAAAACGAGAGAACCTGGAGTAATGCGTTTCAGGGCTTGTTCCAGCTCTCCCACATGTTTTGCCCTGTATTTCACTATAGCCTACCACATACTGTATAAACACACAGACACATTCATACATATGAATTTGCGGTACCTAAAGTCCCCCCAAACACCCAACATAAACACCAGAGAGACCATCATATTGAGCGGGTCTCAGGGGCATGAAATGCAATGGGATTGACGTATACCAACCTAAGAGTCATTTTCTCTGATAATATTTCAGCCAAGGGCGTAGGTTTGATTTAGGCATTGGTGGGGACATAACGGCAGACATTCCCATAGCATCCCTACTAAATTTTACGCCCATGAAAATCATAACAAGCGATGTCTGAGTCTGACTTCGGAAACTATTGTTCTCTCCTTAAATATGAAGAGGTCAAGCAACAGATGAATGAGTTCATCCAAATTTCCCAAAAAGCTTATGGATGTAATTAATATAAGTCAGACTCTGAAGTGAGTTGTTGTTTTTGTCACTATTTTAAGGAAGATGTCATTCAGAGAAATTGGTCTGTTTTTTAATGTTTATCTAATCTCATTTTGTAAGTGACTTTTCTTTCTGTTTTAAAGATGTTTTCTTTGGATTGTTTGACTACTTGTAAGAGAATATAGGAAATATAACTTGATTAATATGTGTTTCCTGCTAGATGAATTTTACATACATAAACACAAAGTTGATCTAGACAAATACATGGAAACTATTCAAGGTTCTGTTAATCCTGCAATGAAAATATTCATCCTATGTGTTCTCTTAAGGTGAAAAAAACATGGTTACTAATAGTTAAACCATATAGCCTAACCACAAATAACAATAGTTTTGCTACACTAACAATACCATATTTGTAGTAAAACTGTGGTTATTAAAAAAAATGTCTATTATAGGTCTAATAAAATCATGGTTAATTTTCTTAAGGGATTTGTATTTGTGTATTCTTTCTTTTTTATAACTGTACTGCCTTAATGGTTTGATGTTTTGTACTGTTTATTTAAAAAAAAAATCAGAAAAGGATTTGTGATATGTGCTCCGAAGTCCCGATCTGAATCAAAAGATTCACAAACCCACACCGAAGTCCCAACATGAATCAAAAGATTTGCGATCCACGCTCCGAAGTTCCGATCTAAATCAAACGATTTGATGATTTAATGATTGGCGAACCATCATTTCAGATCGGGACTTCGGAGCGCGGAGCATGAATCATTCAATATTATGGTTCGCGATATGCATTCCGAAGTCCCGATCTGAATCAAATGATTCACAGTACGGGAAGCGCTGATCTAAGTCAAATTATTCGCGAACCTGTTCCAAGCAAATTATTCTCGATACGTGATCCGTTTGGAGCGCTTCGTAACCGTGT